GGCATCTGGTGTAATACATTTTATATGGGACACCCATTCCTAAAGCATTTGGTTTACTCTAATGGCAATCCTCGTTATTAGTTAGAGAATAAACTTATTATACAGATACCTAAAAATACAATGGTTCAAAAGAGATAGACTGTATTTTCTCTCTCATATAGTATTCCAGAGATAGGCAATTCATCAAAGATGGTTCAGCAGCTTTGCTCTATGGCATTTTTCAGGAACCTGTCATCTTTCTTTTTGCTCCGTCATCCCCTGTGTCTCTGGTAGAAGGTAGTTTTCCAGCACAAAACGTTTATACTAGCCCATGGAATGGAGAAAAGAAGAAATGGAAGTGTAACCAGCTTGCGCTTAATGCCATTAACTGGATGCTTTGCATATAATTTCTACTCATAATCCACTGACCAGAACCTAGTCACATACCATATCTAGTTGCAAGGGAGTCTGAAAAATGTTTTCTCTAGCTTGGTGTCTATGTGCCCTGCTAATAACAAGAAAGTTCTATTACTGAATGGAAGAAAGAAGGAATGGATATTGGGGGACAGTTAGCCAAAGTTGAGGTTATGGTAACAGTTTATGCTTTCTAGTAGTCATGTTTTTCTGGAGTACCAGAGTTTATATAGAGAAGGCAGAGGTTAGTATAGATCAGAGTATCATAAACTGGTAGGATTTTCCTCTTAGTACCACTTTCTAAGAACTGCTTAATATCCACATGGTTACTGTGGGAAATATGTTATTAGTATAGTTTGGTCTTATACCCCTGTTTGTACTTGGTTGGACAGTAGCGGGTACCTAACCAGACCCAGTCTAACTGCAGTACTCTTCAACCTTGCTACATTTGGTGGGTTTTGAGCTGAATGTCTAAGTCATGCTAAGGGAGTTGGGGAGGTTCTGAGTTTCTTTTCTGGGACTTTTAGACAGTTAAACAAGAGAGTTTTCCCTCTAAGGGCTCAAAATTATCATAAATAAAGCTCCAGAGTTTTGGGCAGCTATGTTTTTGACCATGTGGAAAAAGATGGGCCTCAATGAGACTGAAGAATGAAGCTGGAGTGTAAACATAAATGAAAACAAGAGATAGAGAGATAATCTTTACTTACATTTCTTCCTTGAGTGCCAATATAATAAATATTTCATTTAATCTGTCTCTTGTTATTCTCATAATTAGTGATGAATTTCCTGGACTTCTTTAAAAATAGTTATTTCTCCATTATTTCAGCTGGTGTTACAGTAATAATCTATAGTTTATTGGAGATGGAAAAGAATTGTATAGCTCAAGTGGCTTCAGATTGTATAACTAAGTTTATGCTTATTTATCTTAAATATCTCTCAGGACTGTTTTAGGAGCCATGAGGAAAAAACTTCAACTCTTACTTCTTATCATGAATTTGTGGAAATTTTAAATTGGTTCTATCTACAAGTTATTTGAAAAATGTAGAATCGATATTGCCTCTTTCAATAAAAAATATCTAGAAGGCCACAAAACAGAAACTAATGAAATTAGTGAGGTGACATTGGAAACGTAATTTGGGAGAGATCACTAAGGAGTTTGTTTCAAATGTTAATCTTTAAAAATCTCTATTGCTTCAAATAGAATAGGTATAATTCCTATCGGAGGTTTTGATTTTGGATGTCAAACTCCATAAGAAAGGCAGATCATGGAATATGTTCCCCAAGGTGTTGATTTTTTTCATTCATTCAATAAATATTTATTATCACCTTAATTGGGTGAGGCATTCTTCTAGGACTGGAAACCCAGGGATGGGAAAGACAAAAAAAAAAAGATTCCTATTCTTATGGAGGTTATATTCCAGTGAAGGGTTCAGGCATAAACAATAAAAAATTAGTAAATAAGTAAATAAATATAATCATTTCCATTAGTGGTGAATGGTGTGATAACAACAACAAAAAAATCCCCCAAACAAAGCAACAGCAAACAGAGTGACAGGAAAAATACTGATGATGAAGGTGAGGCTGTTCAGACAGGGTGTTCAGAGATGGTTTCTGTGTGGAAGTGAAATTTGAGTAGAAACTTTAATATTAAGAAGAAGTCAGCCGGAAGATGATCTTAGGAAAGAGCATTTTGGGCAGAGAAATGCAGCAAATGTTATGGTTCTGAGTTAGGAATGAATTTGGTGAGTTCAAGGATGAAAAGAAGGGCAGTGTGGCTGAAAGGTAGTGAACCAGGCTGAGTAAGGACCATGGCAAGAAAATTGGATTTTATTCTTAATGTAATGGGAAACCACTAGAGATATTTAAGTAGGAGGCTGATGTATTTTTATTTTTTAAAAAGATCACTCTGACTTACGATATGGAGAATGTACTATGGAGAGTGGAAGTGGGGAGTCCTTTAGAAGCTATGGTAGCATATTAGAAGAGAACTGATGCTAGCACAGGCTAGAGTGGTGGCTGCGCAGCAGATGAGAAGTGGTCATGCTCAGGCTGTATTTAGGGGCAGTGTCCATAATACGTGGATTAGATGGTGGAGGCAGGTAGTGAGGGGGGGAAAAAGAAATCAAGAATTCTTCCTAAGTTTTCGCCTGAACATTGGTTGACTAATGGTCCTATAAAGAAGCCTAGGGTGTAAAACAGAATTTGGTTTTAGGATATGTTAAGTTGCAAATGCCTGTTAGTCATGAGATGAGGTGAGAAAGATGTCAGGTTATGAAAGACAAAACTTTAGCTAATGTTTCAATGGCTCCCTTTATTACAGTTGAGATGGGGTGGCCTTCTAGTCCATCTAACTGGAAACGTAAACTAGTCGTCTCTAATAGTGGTCAAGGGAGTAAAACCTCAAACTCCCTACTCTGCAGTGCTATTTATGAGTCTTGCCTAAACTACTTGCAGTAGTTTTCCAGCACCCACATTTACTGACCTAGTACCAGCCATGCACATCTGTCTATGAAAGTCCATCTACTATTTTGTGGTACCTCATAGCATTTGATAATAGGTTAGAGGGAATCTAAATACACTATTTGGACTATAGAAGGGAAAATTCTCTTACTTTGTAGACTTGGTCAGTATACTGGGTTTAAGGAAATATTTGACGTGTGATTTCACATTTTCAAAGTGTTGCCCTTTTGGTGTTTCCATATCACCTTGGAAAACCCAGACTGAGCTGAAAGAAAGTCCCTAACACTAATGAGAGAGGGTATTCAAGGGAGAAATTAAATACAGGGCTCATTGGTACCTTTAGAAGCACTATTTGAATGAGTAAAAATTGGCCTGGATGAAGAGCATTCCTAACCTGGTATTCTCAGATTCACAACTGAGCTAATAAACATTGTGAATACTCAGAAATACCATTACCTGTCCTCACGGTACATATACAAGCACCTTTGATGGACCAATGTTTAAAAATGGTGGAAAGAGATAGAATTAGGAGAAGGTAAAAAATTAAAGGGAATAGTGGAGAAAATGTAAATCATAGAAGGAGCTGGTAAATAGGAGAAACCTTCTTAATCTCAAAAGAAAATGGAGAAGGATTAGATGGGAATTAAGAGTGACTAAATATGGGACTTCCCTGGTGGCGCAGTGGTTGAAAATCCGCCTGCCAATGCAGGGGCACAGGTTCGAGCCCTGGTCCGGGAAAATCCCACATGCTGTTCAGCAACTAGGCCCATGGCGCCACAATTACTGAGCCTGCGCTCTAGAGCCTGTGAGCCTAGAGCCCGTGCTCTGCAACAAGAGAAGCCACTGCAATGAGAAGCCCACACACCGCAGTGAAGTGTAGCCCCCGCTCACCGCAACTAGAGAAAGCCCATGCACAGCAACGAAGACCCAACGCAACCAAAAATAAATAAATTAATTAATTAAAAAACGAGTGACTAAATAAGCATCATCTTAATTAAGTTTCATAACAATCCACTGAGGTAGATATTATTACCTACTTTTATATTTTATAGATGGGCAGTTAGACTTAGCAAGGTTCATTTTGGAGACGGTGACTGTGCTAGGTGGAATTCTAAGATGGCCCCCAATATTCTTCTGGTGTACATTTCTTGGATAATCCCCTCTCTGAGTTGGGGGAGAACCCGTGAATATATGATGGAATATCATTCCTATGATTATATAGTAAATTTGAAGGAATTTTAAAGATGTAATTAAGGTCCATAATTAGTCAACTTTGAATTAATCAAAAGGGAGATCATTCCGAGTGGGGCCTCACCTAATAATGTGAGCCTTTAGAAGTTGGAAGATGTCAGAAGATTCTCTTGCTGGCTTGGCAGAAATAAGCTGCCATTGTTGTGAGAGGGCCGTGTGACTAGGACCTGAGGGGCCAAGAGCAACCCCTGGCAGATAGTAAGACAATGGAGCAATGGGTGCAAAAAAATGAATTCTTCCAACGACCAGTGAGATTGGAAGAGGACTCCAGCCTCAAATGAGACTGTAACCCCAGCTAAGAACTTTATTTCAGCCTAGTGAGACCCTGAACCGAAAACCTGCTTGTGCTTTGCCAGGCTCCTGACTTACAGAAACTGTGACGTGGATATTGTTTTAAGGTGCCAATATATTGGTAATTTTTTACACAATGATAAAAAAACTAATATAGGAATGCAGGAAAAATAGGTAAATTTATAGTTTGGCAATTTTGGCCCCTTCACTTCAGACTTTCTGAAGATACGAGGTTTCTTTAATGAGATTTTTTTTATACACCTGGCTTTTTATAAATTCCTACTCAGAATCTAGGAGAACAAGTATAGTTTTCTCTCTCTTGTCTTCTTTCACAGAGCCCTCTCAAGGTTTACACTTCTATAGCTCTCCCCTATCCTCATAATATCTTTTGTGATGGAAATGACTGAAAATGAAGTAAAAGGAGAAATAACCATGAGCGTTACTTTTCACTTTAATCATTTCTTTTTTCTTACAACGTCACTAGGAAACTTTTGAATAGATGATAATAATAGAGAAAAAAACATAAGAAACATAAATATATGAGGAAATTGAGGAAGATGGAAAAAAAGGAAGTTTTAATCCAAATATATTTCTAACTTTGACAGGTTCAAAAAATGCTCCATTTGCCTGCTATGAAGAAATACAGTCTCAAACTGATAGGTTTGGGAACTGTGGTAGAGAAAGAAGCAGATATAAATTTTGTGCATGGAGGTATGCTATGCAGATATTAAAGATAACCTCTCGTGTTCTGTAAGATTCTGTTTTTAGTTTTTCTCTATTTATGTCATTCATTCCAGTGGTTTCAAGTATCACATGTGTATGGGAGTAAATCTGAAATCAAAATCTCTAGCCTTGGCATCTTTCTTGTGCTACAGGCTTATTAAGCCTGTATCAAGGGCTTTACTTTTTACTTTAAATGTTAGCATTAAAGTGTTACATTTTCCTTAGATATATTACCATAAATGGAGAACCATTGTTTATTTTTACTTTTTTGTCAAAGAAACCAATCTGATGCATTCCTAATAAATGCATAATAATCATATAATTTATTATGTTTGCAGGAATCTTATATGTGGCAGATTAATTTGCACCTACCCCTTTCAAACTCCTTTCCTTCGAGACGGTGCTTCTGTGATTTATGCTTTTGTACGAAATACTGTATGTATAACTATGCACTACACAACGACAGGTGGAGAAGATCCAATGGTGGTCAAAAATGGCTCTATTTGTGATACTGGGAGGGTAAATGACTTAAAATCTATTTTTAAAAATCTAGTTTTATTAATTCCTTTAATAAATATTGCAGTTAATTACTAGTGCTTTGTAAACTTAAATATTTGGTTAAGGAGAAAATGAATAAGCTTCAATTGGTCTCTGAGGGAAATGAGAGTTGTTTGATCCCCATTAGAATTTCAGTGTTGTGAGCAAGGAAAATCCAAGTGTTCTGGGGCTGGAGTGGGGAAGAGAGAAATCTTGGGAATACTTGTAGTTAAATATTCCATAACATGGAAATTCACTTTTCTTCTTGGAGAAGAAAGAAGAAATCCTACTTACTAATATATGTCTCTTTGCGGCCCAGTAGATAGAAGCACAACTTAGATGGGGCTGCTAAGAATCAGTTAGTTTTTGACATTTTGCAAGTTACCTAACCAGTCTGAGATATCACAACTGTATGTAAAGTGGGGATAATAATAACATTTACTCTATGGAGTTATTGCAAAGATTAAATGAGATAATAGTATAAAGTGCTTAGCACAATGCCCAGCACATAGTAAGAGCTAAATATAGGTTGGCTATTATTATTTATTGTTATTATAATTTGTTATCTATGAGACCAACCAACCAAATCTGGAGAAAACATAGAGGGAATAAATTTACTTCAAAATCTCTACATTCTAAAAGGAGTTGTTAGACACACCACGGAGGCCAAGAACTAATGAGAAGACTGAACACATTAAAGGCTTAAAAGGGTTAGGGTGTTGGGGTTTAGAAAGGGTTTTGTGAGGCCATTTCTCTGAAGAGTGTTGTGATTTCATGTGTGAAAGGAAATCATTTTCACATACATTATTTCATTTTAACCTTGAAACAAATCTCAGATAGTTTAGAAAAAGTATTATTGTACTCAGTTAAGAAAACTGCAACTTAGGGAAGTTGATATTGCTAGAAATAAGGGAGTTGGGAATGTATCCTTAATCCTCTGATTATTATACTTTATACTTAAAAGAATTAATATTTGGATGTTTAATACACTCCATAATAGAATGTTAGATATCTGTAGTATATTTTAATGAAAACTTCTAATATCTTTTCTTAGGAACTCGAATAATAGCGCATATTTAGTGAAAACTCCTGATTATTGAATTGATTTTCTTTCTATGCAAACTTTCAATATGTGCAGTAATACAGAATATTATTTAAACTGTGCTCTTAGGGATGGTTTTGTTAGATTTCAGGCTATTGTAATTAAAAGTGATATTTTGATTCTGATTGTTTTTATGTCAGTCTTGTTTCATTTGTTTCTCCCATTTCCCTGCCCTGAATCATTTTTTTGGACTGTTTTTAAAGAACAATTTTAGAATCACAATAAAACGGAAAGGATGTTAGAGGGATTTCCTACACGCCCTCTTGGCCCCACACAGGCATGTCTTCCCCGTTACTAACATCGCCCACCAGTGTGGTACGGTTGTTACAATTGATCAGCCTACATTGACACATGCTTATCACACAAAGAAAATAGTTTACGTAAAGCTATTGTACATCCTGTCAGTTTCTGACCTATATTATTTTCCTTCTTTCTTAAGAACTTCTTTTAACATGTCTTGCAAGACAGCTCTCTTAGCGAAAAATTCCCTCCATTTTTGTGTGTCTGAAAAAGTCTTTATCTCTCTTTCACTTTTGAAGGATAATTTTGCAAGTATATAGGATTCTATATTCTAGGTTGGGGATTTTTTTCTGTCAATACTTTAAATATTTTACTCCACTCTTCTGACTGCCTGGTTTCTGAGGAGAAGTCAGATGTAATTCTTACCTTTGTTCCTCTATAGGTACGGTTTTTAAAAAAATTTTTGCTTTTTTCAGGATTTATTCTTTGATTTTCTGTTTGAACACAATATGCCTAAGTGTAGGGGTTTGTTAGTTTGTTTGTTTGGCATTTATCCTGCTTACTGTTTTCTGAGATTCCTGGAACTGTGGTTTGGTGTCTGACATTAATTTGGGGGAAATCCTTAGTCATTATTGTTTCAAATATTTCTTCTGCTCCTTTTTCTTCTGGCATTTCCATTACATATATGTTATACCTTTTATAATTGTCCCATAGTCCTTGGATATTCTGTGTTATTTTTTTGTCTTTGTTCTTTTTGCTTTTTCATTTTCAGGGATTCTATTGATATATCCTCTAGCTCAGAGATTCTTCCCTCAGCTATTTCCAGTGTACTGATAAGCCCGTTAAAGGCATTTATTCATTTTTGTTACAGTGAGTTTTTTTTTTCATTCCAGCATTTATTTTTATTTTTTTCTTAGGATTGCTGTCTCTCTGCTTCCATCTCCCGTCTGTTCTTGCATACTGTCTACTTCATCTATTAGAGCCCTTAGCATATTAATCATAGTTGTTTTAAACTCCTGGTCTGATAATTTCAGTATCCATGACATGTATGGTTCTGATACTTTCTCCGTTTTTCCAATTGTGTTTTTTAGCTTTTAGTATATAGCCGTATCTGTTTTCTTGAGAGCTGGACATGATGAACCAGATAAAAGAACTGCTGTAAATAGACCTTTAGAAATGTGGTGGTGAGGTGTTGTGGGAAGGGGAAGTGTTCTTTAGTCTTATGAACAGGTCTGAGTCTTTCAGTGAACCTGTGCCTCTGGACTGTGAACTTCACAAGTGTTTCTCATGTTTTTTCTCCTCCCTCAGGTGGGACAGGATGGCTGGAGTGGGCTGGAGTTGGGTATTTCTCTTCTTACACATGGAAGGTTAGAGCTGAGTGAAATTGGGTATTTCCCTTCCCTCAGATCAGTTAGGCTCTGATAAGACATCACCAGATTAGGCTCTAGTTAACTAGTTTCTCCTGAAGGCAAGCCTTGTTAAGAACAGAGTGCTCTGGCTACTTCAAAATGGTTCCTTTTCCCCTCCTCCTGCCAGAATACAAGAAATTTTTTTCTCTGATATTTACTGTGAGAACGTTGGCTGAGCTCCTGGATGTACATCTCACAAAATTGTGGGGCTCTCCTGGAGTTCCTAACTCTCAGAGGTGTCTGTATTGAGCCTCCAGCAATTCATCAATTACAGTTCAGGCTTTCCGACGCTGGCAGGGGTACCTGAGGAGGTTTCCGCTTGTGAATCTTTCCTCTGGTAAGCTGTGACTCCCTGTGTTCGCTCGTCTGTCTCTCCAATTTGGGAGCAGTGGTTTGCCCCCAAGTCACTTCTTTTATGGATCCTAAAAGAGTTGTTGCTTCTTCAGTCTGTTCAACTTTTTACTTGTTGTTAGGATGGAGCGTCAACTTCCAAACTCCTTAAATGGGGAACTGAATACCAGAAGCCTGAATCATTTCTTTAAAATTTATTTTAAAAAATAGACTTTATTTTTTAGGGAAGTTTTAGGTTCACATCAAAAGTTGCAGAAAGTACAGGGAGTTCCCATAACCACTTACCCCACAGAAGTGCAGACACCTACACTATCCACAATCCTACACTATTACATCATCCTCACCCAAAGTCCATAGTTTACATAAGACTTATTGGAAAAATCCCCAAATATTTGTAGCTTACACTACACATTTCTAAATAACACTTATGCCAAGGAGAAATCTCAAGAGAAATTGAAAAATATTTTTAATTAAATGAAGATGAAAATACAACACATAAAAATTTGTGGGTTACAGCAAAAGCAGTACTTAATGGAAATTACTGCATTGAATGTCTGTGGTCTTATGTTATAAAATTACTGATGGTAATGTTACAATAACTGGACTCCTCTAACTCAGAAAAAAAATTTTGTATGTGTTTTTCTTTAGATTTGTGTAAATCGTGAATGTGTAGAATCAAGGATCCTTGCAGACAGATCATATAAGTGTTCACTAAAGTGCAATGGACATGGAGTAAGTAAGCACATGATTCGTGTTTTCCCAAATCACCTCTCTTGGACACTTTTCAGCATCATTTGTTAATTTATTCAATGTTTATTGGGTTCCTACTGTGTGCTAGGACATGTATCTACTTAAAATGTGGGGCTGAATTGGGTTACTAAATTTGTAGCCATATGTTTTAGAGGACATTGTACAGAATTAAATTGCTGATGACTCTAACAAATTTATTATTACAGTTGGGCACTTTTCAGAGGTATTAAATATTCCAATAAATACATTAACCTGTTCGTTACGGGAAGATAATTAAGCTAAAGTTTGTGTGTCTATGAGTATATAGGGTGAGGGAAAACTATTGGTTTTATCCCTCATTTTGTAATAGACTTTTTTTTTTTTCCCAATGAAGCCAATTTACTTCCCATACCAAAAAAGTAAAAGCGCAGTGGATAGAAGGTTAGATTGTCAATCTCAAGTGATAGTAGAACACCCCTATTTTATTTTTTTTCATTTTTTTTTAAATTGGAGTATAGTTGATTTACAATGTTGTGTTAGTTTCAGGTGTACAGCAAAGTGGATCAGTTATACATATACATATATCTGTTATTTTTTAGAATTTTTTCCCATATAGGTTATTATAGAATACTGAGTAGAGTTCCCTGTGCTATACAGTAGGTCCTTATTAGTTATCTATTTTATATACAGTAGTGTGTATATGTTAATCCCAAACAATTTATCCCTCCCCCACCTCCTTTCACCTTTGGTAACCATAAGTTTGTTTTCTACATCTGTGACTCTTTCTGTTTTGTAAATAAGTTCATTTGTACCATTTTTCAGATTCCACACATAGGCAATATCATATGGTATTTGTCTTTCTCTCTTTGACTTACTTCACTTAGTATGATAATCCCTAGGTCCACCCATGTTCCTGAAAATGGCATTATTTCATTCTTTATTATGGCTGAGGAATATTCCGTTGTATATGTGTACCACATCTTCTTTATCCACTCCACTGTTGATGGACATTTAGGTTGCTTCCATGTCTTTGCTATTGTAAATAGTGCTGCAGTGAATATTGGGCTGCATGTATTTTTTCTTTCTTTTTAAAACTTCTAATTTTATATTGGAATATAGTTGATTAACAATGTTGTGTTACTTTCAGATGTACAGCAATGTGATTCAGTCACACATATACATGTATCTATTCTTTTTCAAGTTATTTTCCCATTTAGGTTGTTACATAATATTGAGCAGAGTTCCCTGTGCTATACAGTAGGTCCTTGTTGGTTATCCATTTTAAATATAGCAGTGTGTACATGTCAATCCCCAACTGCCTAACTATCCCTTCCCCCCACCCTTCCCCACCGGTAACCATAAGTTCATTCTCTAAGTCTGTGAGTGTTTCTGTTTTATAAATAAGTTCATTTGTATCATTTCTTTTTAGATTCTGCCTATAAGCAATATCATATTTTCTTTCTCTGTCTGACTTACTTCACTCAGCATGACAGTCTCTAGGTCCATCCATGTTGCTGCAAATGGCATTATTTCATCCCTTTTCATGGCTGAGTAATATTCCATTGTATATATGTACCACATATTCTTTATCTACTCCTCTTTTGATAGACACTTAGGTTGCTTCCATGTCTTGGCTATTGTAAATAGTGCTGCAGTGAACACTGGGGTGCATGTATCCTTTTGCACCATGTTTTTCTCCAGATATACGTCCAGGAGTGGGATTGCAGGATCGTATGTTAGCTCTATTTTTAGTTTTTTAAGGAACCTCCATACTGTTCTCCATAGTGGCTGCACCAATTTACATTGACACCAACAGTGTAGGAGGGTTCCCTTCTCTCCACACCCTCTGCAGCAGCATTTATTATTTGTGGATTTTTTGGATCATAGCCATTTTGCCTGGTTTGAGGCGATGTCCCTTTGTAGTTTTGATTTGCATTTCTCTAATAATTAGCGATGTTGAACTTCTTTTCATGTGCCTTTTGGCCATCTGTATGTTGTCTTTGGAGAAATGTCTATTTAGGTCTTCTGCCCATGTTTTGATTGGGTTGTTTTCTTTTGATGATATTAAGTCGCACGAGCTGTTTGTAAATTTTGGAGACTAATCCCCTGTTGGTCACATCATTGGCAAATATTTGCTCCCATTCTATGGGTTGTCTTTTTGTTTTTTTATGGTGTCCTTTGCTGTGCAAAAGCTTTTGAGCTTAATTAGGTCCCATTTGTTTATTTTTGTTTTTATTTCCATTACTCTGGGAGACAGATTGAAAAAGATATTGCTTTGATTTATGTCAGAGACTGTTCCACCTATGTTTTCTTTTAAGAGTTTTACAGTGTCCTCTCTCACATTTAGGTCTAATCCATTTTGAGCTTATTTTTGTGTATGGTCTTAAAGAATGTTCTAATTTCATTTTTTTACACATAGCTGTCCAGTTTTCACAGCACCATTTATTGAAGCGATTGTTTTTCCTCTATTGTATACTCTTGCCTCCTTTGTTGCAAATTAATTGACCATAGGTGCATGGGTTTATTTCTGGGCTTTCTGTCCTGTTCCATTGATCTATAAGTCTGTCTTTGTGCCAGTACTGTACTGTTTTGATGACTGTAGTCATTATAATATAGTCTGTAGACTATAGTCTGTAGACTGTAGTCATTATAATATAGTCTGAAGTCAGGGAGCTGATTCCTCCAGCTTTGTTTTTCTTTCTCAAGCTTGCTTTGGCTCTCCAGGGTCTTTGTGTTTCCATACAGATTTTAAGATTTTTTTTTTGTTGTTCTAGGTCTGCAAAACATGCCATTGGTATTTTGATAGGGATTGCATTGAGTCTGTAGATCACTTTGGGTAGTATAGTCATTTTGACAATCAAAGAACATGGTATATCTTTCCAACTGTTTGTGTCATATTCGATATCATGACTCAGCATCTTACAGTTTTCGGAGTACAGGTCTTTTGCCTCCTTAGGTAGGTTTACTCCCAGGTATTTTATTCTTTTTGATGTGATGGTTAATGGAATTGTTTCCTTATTTTCTCTTTCTGGTCTTTTGTTGTTAGTGTATAGAAATGCAACAGATTTCTATGTATTAATTTTGTATCCTGCAGCTTTACTGAATTCATTGATGAACTCTAGTAGTTTTCTGGTAGCACCTTTAGGATTTTCTATGTATGGTACCATATCATCTGCAAATAGTGACAGTTTTACTTCTTCTGTTCCAATTTGTATTCCTTTTATTTCATTTTCTTCTCTGATTGCTATGGTTAGGACTTCAAAAACTATGTTGAATAATAGTGGTGAGAGTGGACATCCTTTTCTTGTTCCTGATCTTACAGGAAATGCCTTCAGCTTTTCACCATTGAGTATGATGTTAGCTGTGGGCTTGTCATATATTGCCTTTATTATGTTCAGGTATATTCCCTCTATGCCCACATCCTGAAGAATTTTTATCATAAATGGGTGTTGAATTTTGTCAAAGGCTTTTTCTGGATCTATTGAGATGATCATATAGTTTTTATTCTTCAATTTGCTAATGTGGTGTATCACACTGATTGATTTGTGGATACTGAAAAATCCTTGCATCCCTGGGATATATCCCACTTGATCATGGTATATGATTATTCTTTGAATGTTTTGTTGGATTCGATTTACTAGTATTTTATTGAGGATTTTTGCATCTATGTTCATCAGTAATATTGGCCTGTAACTTTCTTTTTATGTGATATCTTTGTCTGGTTTTGCTATTGGGGTGATGGTGCCCTCACAGAATGAGTTTGGGAGTCTTCCTTCCTCTGCAGTTTTCTGGAAGAGTTTCAGAGAGTATGTGTTGACTCTTCTCTAAATGTTTGGTAGAATTTGCCTGTGAAGCCATCTGGTCCTGGACTTCTGTTTGTTGGGAGTTTTTTACTTACAGTTTCAATTTTAGAACTTGTGATTGGTCTGTTCATATTTTCTATTTCTTCCTGGTACAGTCTTGTCCATTTCTTCTAGGTTTTCCATTTTATTGGCCTGTATAGTCTCTTATGATCCTTTGTATTTCTGTGGTGTCAGTTGTAACTTCTTTTTCTTTTCTAGTTTTATTGATTTGAGACCTCTCCTTTTTTTTTTTTTTACTTTTCCTTGATGAGTCTGGCTAAAGGTTTATCAATTTTGTTTATCTTTTCAAAGAACCAGCTTTTAGTTTCATAGATATTTTCTGTTGTCTCTGTTCTGATTTCATTTATTTCTGCTCTGATCTTTATGATTTATTTATTTCTACTAACTTTGGGTTTTGTTTCTTCTCCTTCCTCTAGTTGCTTTAGGTGTAAGGTTAGGTTGCTTATTACTTGAGATTTTTTTTTCCCTGCTATAGACTGTATTGCTATAAACTTTCAATATTTAGTTTTATGAGCTGTTTGTATATTTTGGAAATTAAGCCCTGTTGGTCACATGGTTTGCAGATATTTTCTCCCATTCTGTAGGTTTTCTTTTCATTTTGTTGATGGTTTCTTTTGCTGTGCAAAAGCTTGTAAGTTTGATTAGGTTTCATTTGTTTATTTTGTCTCTATTTCTATTGTCTTGGGAGACTGACCTAAGAAAACATTGGTATGCTTTATGTCAGAGAATGTTTTGCCTGTTATCTCTTCTAGGCTTATGTTTAAGTGTTTAAGGCATTTCAAGTTTAATTTTTTTATAGTTTGAGGCTGTGTTCTAACTTCATTCATTACATGAAGCTGTCCAACTTTCCCAGCACCACTTGCTGAAGAGACTGTCTTTTTTCCCATGGTATATTCTTGCCTCCTTTGTCAAAGATTAATTGACTGTAACTGTGTGGGTTTATTTCTGGGCTCTCTATTCTGTTGCATTGATTGATATATCTGTTTTTGTGCCAATTCCACACTGTTTTGATTACTGTGGCTTGGTAATATTGTCTGAAGTCTGGGAGGATTATGCCTCCCGCTTTGTTCTTTTTCCTTAGGGTTGCTTTGGCAATTCTGGGTCTTTTATGGTTCCTTATAAATTTTAGGATTATTTGTA